AACTGATGACTCTGGAATAATGAATAGCGGTTTCTTTATAACGTTGTTGTGATTAATTTTGTAAATAGGTTCAAGCTTTAGAGAAGTGCGGACAGTGTCAAAAATTATAGTAGAATTGTGAAAAGCTGAATCCGAAATGTTTCCCTTAATTCAAAACCAACTGTTCTGATTAAGGATGTGGTAGGCCTATCTGAAATAAAAGGATAAAATGAACTTGGAACTTAAAACATCTACTCGTTAGCCTAAAGCAGGCCTACCATTATATAAGCCATTTAGGCTATATTTTTGAGCAATTCTAAGATTCTTAACTTGAGGTTGAGTTGGTAAGTTGGCTGGACCTAATATTGGTCTCTAGCTGTCGACTCCATTCTGATCTCCAGATTGAAGCTTGTCCTTCGACGTTCAACGTATGTCGGGATTGAGCCTGGACCTTCAGGTTAGCGAGCCAGCGTCTAACTCTAGGCATAGTAGCCAGAAAAAACGATGACTGATTCGTTTATTTATCGAAATGGTGACATTTTTCACGGTGGACGTGTAAACAAATTGGCGCGAAAACAACAAGGAGTTGTTTTGTTGGTGAAATTCACCGAATGACATCTTTGTTGAAAATGAACGCCGTTTAACCTTTCAACATTTTGAATTTCAATTTTACTTCTTCTTAGATCAAATCATCAAAGAGAAATTAGTGGACCTCGCCCCAAAATAACGTCAGTGGTTGTTAAGAGAGGCAGTCAATCTCGACATACACTTATAGAATGAAACTACCTTATACAGACTCCAATGACATGTCATCTCCTCATGATTGGGTTAACAAATGTTGAGTTAAAATTCAAAATAATGATATCAGTAGGCTACTGTTGAACCAGAAGAGCGATAAGGTGCTATAGTATTAGTAGCCTAGTTGGAAATTGGTGCAATCTGACAGCAGAAATCTGTCACTGTCCTATATAGTTGGACACCATACTTGGTGGCAGCGTAGTTATTCAGATTAACAGTGAAGATCATAGATGTTACTCTATGGTGATGATTTCTCTTGTTTGAATTATATGGGAAGCAACTCCAGGTTGCCAATCTTGCTACAGACCGCTTTATTAAATAGCATTTATTTGAAGTTCATAGTAAGTCATTTAGTTGTGAAACCTTAAACTGATATAAAAAAGATTAACAAGTGGTTTGTTCTAGATTGTTAGCCAGTCTAGGTGGGTTAGATATTTGTTAATTAAAAGAAATAAACAATACTCGCCTTCGGGCCTCAAAAAGAGATGCCAAGTTGACAAATCCAATCACAATTAGTGAGATCAGATGAATCGCAAGGTTAAACATGAACTTCCTTAACAATATGGTCAAGTAGACAGTAGACTGACAAGTCCTAAAGCCAACTGTTAGATATATTCAACTGAGAAAATAGATATAAAAAACACCAAAGGTGTACTGGCCGATGGCAAGTCTGGTTCGTCTTAAAATTTTAAAGGGTTGAGGTTATGGGCAAAGCCCGACTCCGCGAGCATCACGCCTATGAAAGCACAAAAACAGATCACATTTTTATTATAGGGTGATGATAGCAGTTACAATAATATATTTGTCAACTTGGGATAGCACTTAGCTAAACTTTGGGTAAACTTCATAATATCAGCTTTATTTGACAACTTGACATTGTGCCTTTGCTGCCAGAAGCTGTGGTCTGAACACTGTAGTATAATTTGATGTTTTGTCTGTTTATTTTCTATAGGATAATTCACTCTAAATTGTTGTCATTAATCACAATATACAGTGTTAATAAATACAATACATAGAATAGAAAAAGATTGTATTCAATAGAGCATTGGTTTAGTTTGAACCAAGAACTGGATGTGAACGCTTTGAGTTATTTTTGATGAAACATAAATTAAATTAATCTGATTGAAGAAAGTTTTTTTCTATAACCACACAATCATACAGTTCATATGTATTTAATCAAACAATGCAGTAAAAGACTTCAAACTTAAGATACTTTTTTCACAAATGTGAAATATTGAAACCATTCTTCTCAGCACATCAATATAGGCATGTTTGAACTCTGTTAAGGGATGTCAGCACACATAGTAGTCTCAATCAAATGTTCAGTCATGATAGCAGGTTTGAATGAAGGAAACTATGGTTACTCAAATGTATTATGATGATGACAAGAAATAACACATTTTGGCTTTAGTCTACAATTTCATGATTTTATTACACTTTTAGCTCACAAGCGTACAAACACAACATGCATGCAGAATTTACATTCAGTATAGAAGTAATATTAAGTATAAATGAACACATGTCACATGACAAGCGAATCTATTCTGGAAAACACTGATTAGAGTTGAGCACTAGAATTCAAGGAAGGGCTTTTCAGTGATCATAAATAGCATAGTAAAAACTATTTGGTCCAAATTTTTACTGAATTTTATCATGATAATTCAGAATATAACTTATATAAGGGAAACCTGAATTAACTGGTTAAAAAAGTTACGATATGGTGTTTTGTTTCCTTTTGATCTGCACTTATACGCTTGTATAGATAGACAATGGTAGTTGAATACCTCAAATTATTCACAGGAATAAGTAAAAGAAATGGAATGAGGTTTTATATTTTACTATTCTGCATATTACTGGGTAAATGAAATGAAAACTACTGTGTGTAGCTAATGAAACAGTGATCAATAAACACCTATTGTCATGTTTTTCAAAATGAAGGTTACATGTATGCATCCTACTAGTCTGATGAAATTATATCAAGTTACATCCAAGTGATATGAAGTGAGCTAATGCTATGATATGCTACGCAGTGTTCAATGGGGCACATTTTTCATGCATGCATCAATGGTTAATATGAACATTAAAGGCACACAATAAGCTGACAGTGAATATACAAAATGGAAATGTTGAAGGCAGGGGATAAACAAAATGCCATACTATAGCAGTACTATACATGATGACTTACGTGTTCTACACATTAGACCTTATTCATGCCTTGTTTTTGAGACACTGAAAACGAGGTTCATACGCAAATTATGTCATCTATTGAAAAGATGACAACACCATATAAGGAAAAGCTTATGTGACGTCACTGAACACCTGATCAACAGCAAGAAAATGGGCGATGGAGATTTTACTGCAGTGAAACAATGTTACCTTTGTTTGTTTGCGTTATGAACCTTTTTTTTGGATTCAATATGGCAACGCATGAATAAGATCTATAGAGCTTTGCTACAAACATACATCTTTATGCGAGATATATTGGGTTAAAACCAATAATGATGAGACTAAGTTTTGATTATGATCAATATGACTAGTGTGTTTATTATCTAAGCCACATTTGGCAGAGTCGAGTAAGAGAGGAGGGGGGGAGGAATAAATTTATTATAAATACCAGAATTTGAGGGAATAAAATACTAATAATAAAGAATATATATCACATAAACTGAATAAATAATAACAAAAACAGAGACAAAACTAATATCAACAGTAAATCAAGACAGAGTTTGAGTTTTGCAAAATTCTAACAATAACTTTCAAACAATAATTCATAAAGTATAGTAGTGTATATTGACACTATCATGGTTCATACTCAGTTGACTGAGTTCAAGTTCCAAATCTTGAATTTGATGCACAATGCTGAAGCTCTGATTGATCAAATATGTGATTCAAATGTGGTAGTGCAATTTCCGAAATCATAAATCTTTGATGTAATTAGTTTTCTTGTGAATCTGAGTAATTCTAATTTTCATTGATTGTCATCATTTTGGAATACCTAAACTTTGTCTTAAAAGTGAACATTTTAACAAGTGCAAAACAACCAAATAAAAAGTTATAAATATGAGAAGAAATACACATTTAGTAAATAATAATAACAACATAATAACCCTCTCATAATAAAACTTCATCATTTAGCTAACAAAAATCAACTAACCTAACTGACTTACAAATTTTTAATCTTTAGAAACAGGTATTTGACACCTCATTTTATGCACACTTTTGGTGTGCTAATGGGTTAAAGTCAAACTTAGTTAAAATTCATTATGTTTAGCTAAGGGTTTAAATAATGTGACCAAAAATTGCAACTGACACCTGAAGGTTTTCTTTGTATCTAGAAAATGGAGTTATTCCCCTTAGATTGACAAAGACCAAAAGTAGTACAATGATTAAGGACACATTTTGAAGGTGATTGGGTGCGATGCTAGAAATATATTCACAAAAGAGAATATGTTTTGAGCTTCATAAAAAGAAAACAGTTAAGACATTCCACAAAACCTTTCAATAGCCTTATGCTCAACATGAAAATGTTTACACTAATTTTAAAATTTTTGATGAACAGATTCACTTATCTAAATTGATGCATTTCAAAAATCAATTTATGGTGAAAAGACATACCTGAAAACTGTAATATTGCACCAGATTATTAATCTAAACTATTATTTCTACAGTTATTTCTAATCTTCCACATGAAATTATTAAAAAATACAAAATTAACCGGTACCAAATTGGAGGCAAGGGATTTAAGCATGAAACACTTTTCAAAGAGCACAAGTCTTTTAGCCATTTATTTCAATTATTCTTTAACAAATCAAAATCAAATGTACCCCATCAAACAAGAAACTGTGCCTTATTTCTAAAAATCTGATAACGAGCAACATAAAATGTATGTGCATGTTGGGATATAAATTTTGCAGCACTGAACTATTTAAAGTTCACTTTGTTAGAATAAGACCCCTTCTTATTGTCATGTTGGAGCAAATAGTTCAGGAACATTTAAGTTTGATTTACCAGAGAATAATCAAAATACGTCACAACAAAATTATTTAAATACATAACAAAACATTAAACATATTCAGGTTGAAATTTTAAATACTTAATCAAACGTTTAGGTAAGGGAAGCCTATCAAGTGCATCAGGTGAATATTGCTGTAAAATCCGAATTCTGCATCGGTTTTGTAAATTACCAGATATCGGTAATTTGTAAATTTGTATATGATCTGTTGTAGTTTCCATGTCATTAAGCACAATGGCCATACGACTTCCACAATAGGAAAATGTAGGCATATAGTTAATAGGACATGAGTGAACACCGCAGGCATAGCGATGATATTGTATACAATGTAATGTTTGTGCGTTTTCTCCATCAAATATATAAATGCTAATATCAATAGGTTGAAATCTTCGAGCACGTTTCTCTCGACAATGACATCCACTTGTTGCCATGACAGCAAATAATAAATTTCCATCACATGAATATTTCAAATCTTTTAAATTTGGAAGTAAACTAGTACGTAAATCATCTACTTTAGAATTTAATGCTAAAACATCCCAAGTTTTAGCGCGAACTAAACACAGACTGTTGTCTTGTCCTGGTTGAAAACTGGTAATAGCGAGTCGTGATGAACAGCTTTTAGGGTCGAACACAAATATCGAGTGGTTATAGGCTGGACTAACTTCACCTATCAGTTGTTTTGATTTCAGTTCATACATTTGGAAGACAAAAGTGTTATTTCCGGTGCTAAAAGATGGTATTTTGATCATTACATAGTTGCCGTCTGGACTTATTTCTCCACGTAATGCCTCATTTACATATTCCACTGTTTGATGTCCAAATATACCTAGAAATTTATTCTGTTGAAGGTCAATTATTCCAAACTGTGTCATCAAATTCCGTACTAAATGTAATATAACTGTATTGCCTTTATAACACACCACACTTTTTACGTGAAAATTTTGAATAGATGAAAGGTGTGCTGGGATATGATTATATTCAAAATGTTCTGCCATTTTGGTGAATTTACTTTTGCGTCTAAAACTAAAAATAGGACCAGATTTAATGTTGATGATGCCTTGACGACTAGTACAAAATGTTACGCTACAGTCTTTAAACACTATACCACTACAGGCCATGTGGACTTCCTGAAACCCTGCTGCTTCTACAAGATAAAAATAGAAAACATTGTAAAATATGAGTTTACAACACCTACATTTTCAAACTGTCAGATTTGCACATTTTAAGATTTTTTACCATTGCCAAAATAATATTTTTCAATTTATAGTAAATCTAGTTTAAATAATATTTTATTCATGCATGAATGAAAGAATGGAAAAATAGGACTATGAATGTCTGTGCAAAAGATCTCAGCCATTGTTAGTTCTCTCTGTTAATTATGTTTATTGTTAAATCTGTTAATAACAGAAGACTGAACCATGAACTCAAACAGTATAGTCAAACAATGATGGGACAGTCCAAGAGACAGGAAAAAAGATTCTTGGATCAAATTCAGAACACATTTATATTAATCCTTTTCTAAATTCAGGGAAGAAGAAAATATCTTTAAGAGTAAAAGAGAACTATTATGTTTTATTTACCTGCATGGCCTGCCTTCCATTGATCTAAAGAACACTGATGTAATAACGACCAGGGCCTGGCTCTCTGAATCTGTTTATTCATATTTCTATTGACAGACCCCGGCCCCATCAACCCATAATTCCCTGCTCTACTCTCCTCCGCACCCATCTTACTTACATCTACTCCTGAAAAGACAAAAAAAAACTTATTCAATACATGTGTTTCATAAAGACTGATATGAACAAACTAAACCAATTATCTCACAACACAGAGGATCTCACATTTTGAATGCAGTACACAGTTTCACATTAAAATGCAACAAATCATATTTTTCACCTTAAAGAATAATTCAGGTTTTATAATACCATATTCCAAAAACTAAAGCCATCCTATAATGATATATTATAATCACAGTTAAGAATTGGAGAGGTTGAATCTAGTAGTAAACCACACTAGTGATCTATCTAATATACAACTGACTACAAAATGATCATCGCCCAGTCTTTTGTAAAATTGTCACATTGTAAATGCATACAAATCAGAGATAAACTTGTCAAAGTTTTTTCAGCCTAGCTATAGAATTAAAGTGTTTAAACCAGTCATCCAAAACATTGAACTGTTCAAACAGAACTGACCACACATTATACAAAGTTCATCACCTCTACTTTTTGTCCACCATCAAAGTTGTCATTGCACAAAAATTGTGCTCCACCTGTCAAACTTTTATGTTTTTTCCCATACCCACAAAAATAAGAAAAACACGTTGGTCCAAATAAAGTTCATCAGATATGGAATGTTCTTTTTTTTGAATAACATTAATAATCAGCTACGTATTATTATTTTATTGGAATGTTAACTATCTAGTATACCTTCTAGTGAAAATCAATAGACAACAATATATCACTTTTCTTTCTGATCTATGATGATTCTAACTGAATATAGAAATGTTCTTATGCAATAAAATATTTTCACTGTTAAAATAGTGCACAATATTTTTTTAGGTTCTGTTTGAATTTTTCTAGAAATGTTCTTATATATTTATTTCAAAGCATGGAGCAGTATTATATCAGTAGCTGTATTATTCCTATCTTTGATCATCAAAACATTAATTATATATTCCTTTTCACACTGATAACTTTTAATGCTTCTATAGAAGTGAACACACTACTGTCTAGTGACGATGCTTTTGTCCTACTTTCAGATTATGGCTGTGCTTTATGTATTAGAAACTGTCCATGGATGATATCATAATGCTGATATAGAAAACTAATCGTACCTACCAGTGGCGGAGCAGGCAGGGGAGGCAGAGGGGGCCCGAATGCAAGTTTTTCGGGCAAAAATCTCATTGCTAGGTTATAAATTCAGGAATCTCAGATATTTCCCCCCCCCCCCCTCCCCCTCGGGCCTAAACCTGGCTCTGCCACTGGTACCTACACAAGGTACCAAACTCACTAATTACAACTTCTTTCTTAATGGTTATTTCCAACTGCAAATAGTATTAAACTTTATGTACTGGAGTATAATAAATTCGTACATTTAAAAATTTAAAAGTATATCAGGCTTCACTATATCAGCCAATTAATAAATAAAAAGATGGTGGTCACTGTAGATAACCAATTTTTTCATGAGGTATTGTTTTATAGGTGCTGTAACTTTTTCTAATGAATTTCATGTATATAAATTGAGGTCAAACATCATACTGGTTGTTTTTATAATACCTACTAGATATAGACATCAAAAGAAACACAAATCTGCAATGAGAATACTCTAAAGAGGCTTAGTATAAATGATATATACATGATGACAAATTCAGATCTGAAGTTGGGTAAATTTTAAATCATGTCTCTTATTATTGAACCTTGATTTCTACCTAATAAAATAATTAACTTTTTTCTCTATATCCTGAGCATTATAAAATATAACCAGAATCTGTTACTTTAGTTTAAATTACATTAAATTGCACACACTTGTCTTAAAATAACTTTAAAATAAACATACTTAAAGTGAAAAATTTGACATCTAAAGAAGAAACATTCAAATAAAGTATTCCATAAATATCTAGTAAGAGTATATAGTGAAATAAGGTATTGAATAACCATATTCCATTTTTCGCTTCTCAAATAAATTGCTTTAAATTTCATTACATGTAAGGTATGTCTGCAATCATATGATCTGAGTTTGTATGTAGTGATCATTGAATTAATAACATCACACACATTTCTTTCTGGTAAAAGTTTTGCTTTTTCATTCTGTCGTAAAGAAATTTAACCCCCAATAGGGCAAATTCAGTGAATCATTCTCAAGACACTTCTGCTTAAATTGATGCCATAACATAGTACCTTTTACAGTTATTATCTTATATCTGGATAGCCATTCGAATATAATATTTTATATATAGGAAGGTAACATTAAAAACACTAAGATATATGGATATACTAATCAATTCATAAATCTAAATATACATAAGTAGTAAAGCCATATATTTTAGTCTTTAGATTGCTTGGAAATGTAATTGGTTTAAAAGTCTGAAATGATTGGAAAATAATGTTATACAACTGGTCTGATAAACACTGTTACAGAAAACAGCAGCATTTGTAATTTTTATCAACCTAGCCTGGTTACATCTGTTCTTTATCAATCTAAACTATTTAATTTGACATACAGTTTACAAATCAATTACAATTTTCCCCAGACCAATTATAGTTAGACATTGGTTTCCAAGATTTTAAAACAATTTGATAAATAACGAATCTAATTGATGTTTGCTACTGATGTTTTTACTGCATTCCATTAATAAAACTAGACTGCTTAACAACTAAGCAGGAACACTGCTTATTGAGAGCAGTCAGGTTGACAAATTATTTTGGCGACTGTCAGTACGTTAGGGAAAGATTACCACTACTTGTTATTTGTTTATAACATTATTTATCATATAAGGAACAACAGAAATATTTTTCTAAAGTTGTCCTCATTATAGAAAGGAAATGAATAAAATGGCATTGTTTATTTTAATAATAAAATATCACTGTCAATTATCGAAATTCCTCTTCAAATCAATAACAATATTTACTTTAGAAATAGAATTATTCCTATTCACAATATGCTCCAAGGGAAAAAATGACAGACAATTAAAGAGACCCAATACAGACTTTAAAGTCATTGTGTATAAGGCATACAATTCGTGATGACTTTCAAAGGTGACTTCTTAATTAGGGCAAGTTCTCCTGGAATAACAGGAACCACGAAGACATTAATCTGAAAAGGTAAATGTCCCCAAAGTATGTAATTGGTTAAAAAACCTTGTTAGAACCTTGTGAATATATTAATGATGTTTTAAGCAGTGTTGCTTAGAGAAAAATGTTAATTTACAATACAACTTTACAATCAAAACTAGATTGATACAGATATCATTAACTTGAAATGAATGTGAACAAATTAAAAAGTCTGATCGGTTAATATATTGATATTGATACCGGTATATAAGTTTTCATTCCCTATTGCATCAAATTTTCACTCCACTTTGATTGTTGTAAGCACTTTGTCAGTGTTAAATGTAATAAAATTGATGGAATTAATAGGTTTGTTAATTAGTTTTACACTGGCTTACCTCACTGCTGTATAATAAAGTTATTAGTTAGAAAGTAATCTATTTGATAGTATTGACAATATAACCTGTTTGTTGTTATAAACATTGTTATCATATTTTATATATTGATATAACTTTATATATAACCTGGTGATTTAACCCTCCTTGTATTATAGTTAAACAGCATGATAACACATCATGACATAACTCAGTCTACAGTCTGGTAGTCAACTTTTACAGAATACTCCATAGATTAATCCTTCAATGGCATATTAGAAGCACAAGTTATAGATTTATTTAATTAAAAATATATTCTAAAAGTATTTAACCATTATAATTGTCTTATTTATTCCAGGGATTGTTATCATGCACATCATATCTCATAATCATGAAACAAAATCTAAGAACTGTAGTTGGTTGTCCTTACTCACTATTACCAAAATTATCACATTGGGGGTTGTGAACTAATTTACCACAATTGCCCTAATAGGAGTTGTGAGCTTAAATACCACAATTAAAACAATAGATGATAATATACCACAATAACCACAGTAGAGGATTAGAATTAATTACTAAACTTATCACAATAAGAGTTGTAAACTAATTTACCTCAATTGCGGCATTGGTTGTCAGAAAATTAAAAAAATTTTGTTTAATTCAATTCCAACTTTATGATTGCTTGTTCCATTCTGTAAGTTTTACTTTATGTAATGCCCCAAATATCCAACACACAGAGTTCACTCATCATGTAGTATTTTAACCTTGAATTATAATACTTCAAGGTGAATTTTTATTTCTTCACTTCCTTTTTAAAATATCTCACATTCTTCTTACAATTTCATTCACATCTTCGTTTGAACATGGTGTGTAATTCTTACATTTTTTAATCAAAAATGGAAATGAACCATAGTGTTAGAGACATTATAGAACATATTATATTAATTTGTCCAGCAAAATTCCTTCAATGTCGATTTAAAAGAAAGAAATAAATACCACTGAAATATTTCATCTTACCACAAAATTATATATAAAATATGTCAGTTATGTTAATGAATGAACTACCTATAAAATAAATTTCTATGAATAAACATCAAAATAAAGTTGGTGCTATAAGACAGCAGTATGATATATAGAGCACTATTTGATCCAATCTAGCTTTAATATACCATTAGTTTTAGAAAACACTTAAAACTAGATCAAGGTTTGCCAATTTGAAAACACCTAGAACTCAAATCATAAGGAATCCTGTAAGTCAAGAATGAGACAACAAAAAATATGGGTAGCAAATTGAAATTTCATAGACAACACTTCAAAATCCTGAAAGCAAAATATTAACATTTTAAGAATTCTGTCTTACCACAAAAATGCTTGAGTTGACTACACAAGTTAAAACAAAAATCAGCTGCAGGGTACTAGAAACCTTGGACTAGAAACTGTTTATAAATATCACTGATAACCTATTTATATCCAGAATCTAGGTTAAAACACAAATTATAAATCAAAAACGTAATAACTTTCTTCTAATAAACTTTCTACCTTGGCAGATATTTCATCAGATAATTCACAGTAAAACAAAATGTTAAAATGACAGAATGACAT